TCGGGCTTCAAGGTTTTATTTACTGCTTTAGCTCTGCAAATCCCAACAGGCATTATTTTTTAGCTCCCACAAAGGTGGCCCATGGTTTGCTTTGTTCCCGAGACCGATGTCCTTGTGCCTGCGCTGCGGATGCAGCATCCTGCTGCCTCCTGCTCTGACTGGCCACATTCACTCACTTGACATGAAGAGACAGTTTTTTGGCTAGAATCCTCGTGCAGCAAAGGGGACCTGCGTGAAATACCTGGTACTGGGCTCCTTGCAGACCGACTCGTTTACTTGTCAGCAATTCTTGTTAAGGCAGGACCACAAAGGTCCATCCCAGTTCCTGCTGAGCACTCAGATGGGTTTAAATCCCTCTTGGTGACTCTTGAAGTATGAATGTGCTAAGATACAGAGTATTTGTCATTGTGCACACTAAATGTTTGTATCAGTGCCATCGCCTGTGGCCAAAACAATGAAACTTTCCTCTCTCCAGAAGCGGGAGCAGAGATGGCCCTTACAAAGCGTGGCTCTGTTTAACATCAAAGCGGATTTTGCAAACCTCAGATGAATCCAGTAGCTCTGAGGAGGTCCCCCCTCCTGCATCACGGGTCTCACCTTTGAAAAACCTTGCCCAGAGTTACAGCCTTTCAGATAAGGATTCAGCGAGGGGGGGTCTGGGGAGCGCAGCCCTGGGGCCAGGGTAAGGCTCTGCGCTGGTGCTCAGCAGCTCAGCACCAGCACCACTTTGGAGGGAAGGAGGGAGCTGGTCCTCTCCCAGACCTGTCAAATGAAGAGGGAGAGAACAGCAGACTGGCATTGGAGAGGCAGCCTTGTCAGGGTGGCTGTATCCCACATGCTGGGCACTTTGTGGGAACAGGGGAATGCAGAGACTCTCCATCGTCGTACCCCAACGCTGCTGCCTAGCATTAGTGGAGAGCAGGTTCAAGATACCAGAGTTATTGCAACATTTTGATGAAAACCCCTTCCTCATGGTTACAGCACCTGAGAAAATCCTTTTACACCGTCGACGTTGGGTGTCAGTGAGGTATGTGCATGGCAGCATGACAGTGGGCAGTGGAGGATCGGGGCTGTCCCAGGGCTGGTGGCTCCCCAGTGCTAGTGAGGCTGGGCACAGGGCTGGCTTGTTACAGCAGACAACATCCCTTTTACTTTAAAGAAGTGTGAAAGGTCTCCACAACGGGCACTTCCTCACCAAAAATATTTCTCTCCGGTGTGTTTGTCTTTAGGTGCTGTGCAATCCTTGGCTGAGGATCTCAGTGCATCAGTCCCTATGCAGCATAACATTCGAAACCAAGTGGAGCACCTTATGGCCTAAAATTAGGTTTGATGTTTTTTCTTTTTTTTAATTATGCAGCTTTACAACTTATTTCATTAGAAAGACAACTATGTCTTTCTAATGAAATAAGAAAACCAAACTAGATCTTAAATGACTAATGCCACTGGAAAGGCTTCTAAAGCAGTTGCTCCTGAGATCACCAGTGGATGAGTTATGCTTTCTGGGAAGAAGTAATTTTCACAGACCTTAACGCTGATCTTTCACATAAACCCCTACTCTACTCTTAGAGGAAACAGAATCTCTTTCAGTTACACGTGATTTTTTCACTTACATCCATTTCAATTACACTTAACCCACTGACTGCCAGTACTTTTAGGTTCAAACACATTACCAAGTCATGCCACATGTTAAGATTTTGCGTTTCATCTGAAAATATCCATTTAGTTCAGATAATGTCATCCAGTTGCATTGGTAAAGCTGCTTCACCGACTCAGGTAAGACAGATAATTACTGTCAGTTCCGTTTCACGGACCGAAAAACGGAGGCAGGGAGGGAGATAAGGGCTGTGCTGGAAAGGGTGGTGGCACGGCTGAGCCCCCCAAACTCCCTGGGTTTGTCCTCTTGTCCTTCCAGTGACTCAGCCGAGCCTTCTCCCAAAGACAGCCCACTTTCCTGGACTGTGAGATGATGAGCCCGGGGAACAAATGTAAAACGCCGCATGTGTGTATTTAAAGAAGAAAGAAGATTGAAAAGGTACACAATAACGCTGAGTGCTTTGGAAATCACGGCCATTAGGCCAGATTATCGTTAAATCACTGCCTTGAGCAGAGCCCGGGGCAGGGCGGGGGACACAGGGAACGCTGCTCCCCGTGTCGCTGGGGACAGACACTGTCTGCGGGGACCTGTCCCTTGCTGGTTCTGGGCTGGGAATACTCAAACCTGCCCTCGACTTCCCATTCCGAGTGCCAAACTTTCGAGAAATCGGTAAATAAACATCCATTGGCCAGGGAGAGCCGAGCCATGAAGCGTGGGATTAAAGCACGTGGTAATGCACATTTATCTTTGGGCATTTTTAGAAAATTACAGCCACTGAAGGAGAGTAGTGATCTCTCATAAATTTCCTGATCCGTTGAAGTCAGTGCCGTGCTGAGGTGTTGGGTTGCCCAGGTGAGAAGCCAGTTTACAGAGGAGAATGACATCACTGTCCCTCACGTCATCCCCTCACGTCATCCCATCATGAGTCTTACCATCCGATATGTAAACGCCACTAAACCAAAACTACCCCAAATAATTTACATGCCCCTCTACATCTCACGGACCTACAGGGTGTCCTGTACTCAGGGTTTTCAGGTATTTCAGATGCTATATTGGATGCATCTAACTTATTGCAGAATCCTGGTGGCCTGAGCACGGTGTCCCAAGCGTGGTATCCCCTCCCCCTGGGGGGCTGGAGGGAAGTGAGCACCCCCTCTGTGAGCTTCCCCCTGGGCTGAAGTCTTGGTGGAAGCAGAGGGGACTCCCCAGGGAGCTGCTCTGCACCCTCCTGAAAAGGGGGGCTGCTGGGGGAGGCAGCAGGCTCTGCTGGAGTCTTTGGGGAGTGGTCTGGGAGCAGAGAGATGTACAGACCCCGCTGGCCAGCTCTGCACCTAGGGGCTCATTTGGACCATCATGAAGCAAGCTTAACTCTCACACGGCCCTTTCAGAGATGCTGGATGAGGTGTCCTGGAGGGGGACTCTGCTGCTCATCTCAGGAGCTACCTGGTTCCCCGAGAGCAGCAGCTCACAGATTGTTCAGTTCCAGCTGTTAAGAAGCCAGTTCTCCAGAGTCAAGGAGTGACTACCCTCTACAGGGAGGGAAACAGCAAAAGGAATTCATCTTCTCCATGGCAAGAAAATGTTCCAATAATATTTGTCATTTAGCCAAATAACTGCCATAAAAGCAATACTTCCTGAACCTTTTAAAAGGAGTTTTGCTTTAATCACAGACTTGACTGACTATTAGGAGACTCGTGATTGATATAATGGAGACCCCAAGGAATTCAGACTCACACAAGGACAGACATACCAGGACCAGGATCCCCATGGAATTGAGACAATGGTATTAGACATCAGTAAATCCACACTAGTTCTGCCACATTAATCCTCTCAGTTTGGGAATTGAGAATCTCAGTAGCTTCAGCCAAACTGCATGGCTTTTTTTTTTTTTTCTGTGGGACTAGAAGATATCAGAAATCATCAGTGTTGCCTTGTTAATTCTTCATGTCAAGGCTTTTTGCACTGAATGTTGAGTGGTGACCATCTGAGTCCTCTGTTCACAGAGGCAGGACCAGTGGGGCTGTGTTCTCTCCTGTGATTTACACACCAAAGGCGACTGAAGGTGAAGGCAGAATGCATCTCCCTACTTCATACTGAAGCTCTATATGCTGGTACAGGCTGCAGAAGAAACATTTAACTTTATAATATAGCTATAGTTAGAACAAGGTTTAGGAGACACAAGTAGCTTGACTTTAGAAAATTGGAAAAGTGCCTCCTTGGGAATAAGGCTGTGTTAGCAGGGTATTTTGGCTGACTAAGTGAATTTGCATGCAGATTTTGCTGCTTCAACAAAGCAAAAGAAAAGATTTTTCATCCTTTTTGGCTGTTAGTTTTTCCAGAATTTGCCTGCCAGGGTAATTGTCTAGGATGGCGAGCGATTAGGATCTGTTTTGCAAACAGAAATATAATGAGATTTAAATATCTGGCATTTCCACAGCAGTACCCTAGAATCCCCATAAGATAAAACACGCAGTCAGGAAGAACAACAGACATCTCCTGGGTTGTCACCAAGGAGTCTCTGGTTTCAGTGCCTTTGTGTGGTTTTTAAAAAAGTCAAGAATTGAGATGTAAGATTATAATCATCCATGATGGCAACACAATGCTCATAATGAGAAAACAATGCTCTTCAGACTTCAACCCAGGGCAGCACTCGCCTCTTCCTCTCTCCATGCCTCTGACTATCTGAATTAAAAATAAAATATGGCCCGGAAGAGCAGGCGCGGTGCCCATGGGCAGAGGGAGAGCTCCCAGCCCTGCCGTGCCAGCCCCGTGCCCTGCTCCTGTGCGAGCCACCCGAAAGCCCCCGCGCCCCAATAAACCATACTTTGGGCCCACGCCAGCACCCGAAAGGGAGGATATTGGATTATTTGTTCCCTTTGACAACAGGAAGTCTGAGACAAGGCATTTCCCATTCTTGTTCCAGCATTATATGAATGGCCTTTAAAAGTGTTGCGGAGAAGTAAACACAAAGGAATGTCCCACAAAAGAATGGTTTTTAACAATGCCTCTGTTTTCTCCATCTTCAGCTGCGCAGCTGAGCACGCTCCCTCGCAAGTCGGGGCAATTCTGCTCACATCATGGCATGGTGACCTTCCTCCTCTGTCCCCTCCTCTTGATGTCACTAACCACGAGACCTCTTGCACTTTTAGAAAGGGCCCTTCATCTGGGGCTCTAAGGCTCATGATCCTCACCTGGCACTCGGGGACACATTTCCAACAGTATGTGGGGGCGTGATTCCTCCTCTGTCCCCTCCTCTTGATGTCACTAACCACGAGACCTCTTGCACTTTTAGAAAGGGCCCTTCATCTGGGGCTCTAAGGCTCATGATCCTCACCTGGCACTCGGGGACACATTTCCAACAGTATGTGGGGGCGTTAGATCCAGAACTGGTTTTCTAGGTGCTGCCCAGATCAAATGTTTAACGCTCACTTCAGTCGTGGAGAGAGCAGCCCAGCCATGCTCAGGTCTCCCTGCTGAGGTCCCATCACCTCTTAGGCGTGGTTGAACACATCTCCATTGTCCTTGATGTCTAGGGAGAGCCTCTTCCAACTCTGACCCCACTGTCTGACCCTTTCTGGCTTCTTTTCACTTCTGCAATTCCTCTTTTCCCCACCTTATCCTCTTCTGAAAATCCCATTTTTCCCCATCTCTCTCTCCCAACCAGAATCTCTTCTTCCACTGTACCTCTAAAATAAGGTCTCGTGTTCAGCACCACAATTTACAGCACAGATTAGATGCATCCCAATTATTGATGCCTTCACCATTGCCCATTCCCTCTCTTCCTCGTCCATCAGCTACTGAGCGAGTGAGATGTTGGCCTTGCATCTCAGGAGAAGAGGATCTGTTCTGAGACCAGCCCAAGGAGGAGGAAGGACAGGGTTGGCATGCGTTAGCCCTGCACCATCTTATTGATAGATAATTGCCCTTGAAGCAGCTGCTGAGGCTATTTTCAGCTGGAATCCTCTCCTGTGCAGATCCCAGGTCTCCCGAGTACAGTCCTGACCAGACAGGTTGAGTCCCATCTTTTTGAATATTCCTAAAATAAGAACAAAATGCAAGTCAGAAGCAGTAAGCTGTAATTTCTTTGTTGTTCTTTATTTTTTTTTATGATGACAAATGATCAAGCCCAAAGTTTTCAACTACTTATTCTTGATTACACTCCTGATTATGGCTTATGGTCTATGTTAGATACCCCTGTTCACAGCTGTCACTACAAACCCATTGCTGACCGTGTGTTGAAAAGGGAATTCAAAGTGAGGGATGATAAGACAGAAAATGAGTTCCCTTTCCTGCAGATACTGAGACTCCAGGTTGCACTGCGCTCAGTTTGGCACCCACTGCCAGCTTCTGAGGAGTGTATCTCTGAAATGTCGTGTTGACGGCTGATGCAGGGGAACAGCAAGCATTGGGATGGCTGGTGGAGCTGCTGGATGGCTTCCTCAGAGTTTCTTTCTTTTTTTTATTATTTTGATCATTGTTCATGATGTTTCTGCACTTTTACAGTATAAAATAGCGGACATGCCTCCTGGTTGCTTCTGTACGCTGCCCATTAATCAATGCTTAGCTAATTAACAAATAATCCCTTTAAATTCTTTTTGTAAGTGTTCCAGCCCTTGGGCTGCTCTGTAAACTTTGCTACAGTGCATTTTGGAAAGAACCTTTAAATGATTCAAATATTGCTTGAATTTTTCATAGGTCCTCTGCAGAGAGGTGATGTTCATCTGAATTTGCACCACATGGGAAAAGGGGCAAAGAAAGGTTAAATGCTGTCCTCAGGGTCATGCAACAGTTCAGGGAGAGTAGTTTCTTGACCCTCGTTGAGACCTGGCCTCAAACCATGTGGCAAGTAAATACCTATCTCTTTAGAAGGATTGCCATACTGATCTCATCACTGGCATCTCACTCGCTGCTTTTTTATCTCTAATTATGTACTGACATAATTATCCTTCATTACACAGAGTGCACGCTGTGCACTCACAGACAGAAAAATAAGCTATGTGGTGCAGCTGGGGCATGCTTTATTCTGTCTAGAGGTAAAATTTACCCACCACCATCAGTTTTTAGCTATTGGGAGTAACAGAAACCAGTTAGGGGGGTGGGATTTCTTTTTTAGGATTGAACTGCCCTGCTGTCATGGTTCATCCATAAAGATACAAATTGTTTTCATTTCTTCTCACTTCTGTTCTACCATTTTCTCCAATATTAAAGCATTTTCTGCAGTAGATATGATAAAACTGCTATCGCTAAAGCTTTCTGCTTGGTTCAGGGCACTTTCCCATGTCATCTACCTGTATTTATTTCTCCTTTGTGAGGCTATAAATAGACAAAATATACCGCCTGAGGCAATCTGAGTATAGTAAACTACTCCTTAAGTCACCAGATGGAAATCAATCAGTTCTTTACTGAGTAAGAGGTGAATAAAGATAAGGATCCTTGGCCTGAAGACCACCATCCACTGGGTCATCCATGAGTGAGCTTTCAGAGAGAAGACTGCAAGTGAGACTTTGATGTTGCTGGGCATCTGATGTTTAGCCACACATCTGCCACCAGTGACAGCAGTGACTAACAGAGCTGTGCAGCGAGTTCCCCAGGCCAATCTCACCCTATCATTGTGGCAGTTGGTGGTGGCAGCACGCCAGGTCCACGGTTTGCACTTACTGCCCACAGGCTCCTGCAGAGACTTCACTGCGCTGTTATTGCCAGTTCTTCTACCCCTACCTTTCCTGATAGACTCCATGCAATTAGTGCTGTTTGATGTAAATGAGAAATAGAGCCTTACATTTGGTCAGAAGAGCCCTCACCTAATGGCCTGAAGGAGAAGGCAGCTGAGGGCCGTGGTTTATGGGTGCTCAGGGTTTTTGGGGTGGCATGCTCTGCCTCCTGGCTACAAACAACTCCAACACCCAATGCCAGTGGCCTTTCCTTGGCACATGGAACCTCCAAATAACGAAGCTATTTGATGGCAAGAGTTTATTTGTCCAAATTGGTCATAGGCCAGTGCTATAAATATTAACCTTTTTAGTATCTTGGCTCCTCCTTAACATTTTCTCCCTTCATCTTCCCTATCGAAGTCAACCTGAGAAAGAAAGGGATGGTTCCTGGTACAGGTTAAACCTCCCTTTTAACAGCTGAGGGTGTGAGCCTGTATGTCTGATACCACCTAGGAAAGGAACTTCTCTTCTGTCAAGAGCAGACTTTCCCATTTAATTCAGCCCTCCATCCTGCTGCCAAGGCAATGAGTGTCAGATTCCTCTGAATTTTCTTGGATGAATGGTTAGACCATGCTGGTTTGCAAACTTACTAAAAAAAAGGAGGCAGGGCTGTGTTTTCATTTGCTTGTATTGTTTTAAGCAAGTTGATACGTTCCACAAACAAAAATGGTCTTTGTTTTATGCATAACAGGAAAAGAGGTTGGGTGGCTGAGGTTCTGCAGAAAATCCATCAGGAATTCCCCAGGCTGGTTTTTAACCTGTGTCACCTCACCAGGACAGAGGTGCTTTGTGACTAATTCATATGTTGATAGTGCCATAGTTCATGTTCTGTACATCAGGTTTTGGCACCGTCAGAAAAATTCTAGTGAAACATTTTTGTGGGAGGCAGAACGGGAGGCGGATGGGAAGACGGCTCTCCCCTGTCTTGGTGAAAGGAATGAAAAATATCTCCCATAAAAAAAGAGAAACTGGCAGTTCTCAGGAATGTAATGCAGTCTGCCTGTGGCTCTGCCGTGTACTGTGTTCTGAAACACTAAAAACTCTTTTTTTTTTTCTTTTCGTTTAAAATCAAGACAATCTGTATAATATTTACAGCCTTCTTTAACAGATCAATGAGTGAGTCATCACGCTTATCTCACACCATGGTCCCTGACAGCATCATCTGAGGCACTGTGCAGTGCCACATTACTCACAGCAAGGACAGGAGATTCAGCACCAGGGCTGGCACTGGAGGACCAGGTCGACGTCTGGCTGCTGAGTGGTGATGATACACACTTACAGAAGGAATCCTGCTGTAGTGCAGCCTGAATCTCTGAGTTATACTCTTCTTAAATTGGGCCATATGATTAAAGATCTGGGGACTCTTGGTGCAGTTTTTGTTTTTAAAGTAAGTTTTGGACAAAACCCAAACAGCTTCAGCTTGACAAGTCAATGTTTCTTTTGAGCTGTTCATCCCACTTGTAACTTGACTGGTAGCAAATTCTACTTGAAAGACTATTTTAATCTGATACTTTACACTATTCCACCAGATCAGTAGTCACCACGCAGAGCAGAAAGAGCTGAAATACAGCTCTGAAACTGTGTGTTGCTCTTGTCTGGAGTACTCCTCAGACACAGCTCAGCATCCAGCTGTGTCAGTGCACCTTAAATTGGGCTTTTGTTCTTATCTGGAGATAATACTCAGTGAAATTACTATTACCGTATTTGGGGAGGACTAATATCAATCAAAGAACACAATACTTTCACATACAGAATATTTTGGGATGAATACCAACCCTAGACACAGAGAAGATGCAGAGCATGCCTTGTCCTTTCATAATGAGCTGTGACAGGGAAATAAAATTATTCGTCTGATACTTAGGAATTTGGGAGGACTGAAGAGAGATTTCAGAGAGGTCCTTGTGTTACTTTGCTCAATGACAATTACATTATTTTCATACTATGTTCATACTAACAGATTTTTTAATATATTTGTCTATACTTATAGTGACATTTCTGCATCAAGGTTCAAGACCTTTTATCTTTCCTACCACTGTACTCCAAATATCCATTTCTCCACTGAGAGCCTTCCAACACTGAGCCATGTTATCGCTGTCAAACTACCATCTTAATGTTTGAGTACTGTGTCACGGCTGCCTGTGACATGAACTGTAATCCTTTTGGGACAGAGACTGCAACATACATTTAGAGAGCGATATGGCTAAAACAACGGAGAGGAGATGAAAGTTGGTCTTCTTCTTTAAAGCATTCCCATGACCTCCTGCAAGCCCTTCAACCCTCCTCCACTGCTGAGCTTTGCCTCTTACTTTTTCACTAGGGTGCTGTAGAGCCTTACAGTCCCTTAATAAAGCAGGGCAGTACATTTTGCTCTTCCCCCTGAAAGTTGTCTTACGCTGAGAATTAGGAGTTGAGGCAAGAGGTAAGCAAGCTGTTTTCCAAGGGCCTCACAGTTTGACACCATGACAGAGTTAACGGAGGTTTAAACCAAAATGAAAAGCAAATGACATTAAGTAAACTGAAGGTGATGATGGGCAGGGGAAATGAACATTTGGGGAACTGCCAAATATTTTTTATCCACTGTCAACCTACAGGCTTTGCTTTACATTGACTTATGACTTTATTGCACTTAGTGTCAGGATGACACAGATTCTCTCACGCATCTAATAACCAGGGAGAATCCTTCTCTTACATGGTCTCACATGCACTACATACCTCTCATTGGTGGTCTTGCAAGCTGTGATAGTGTCCTTCCTGCAATATATCTCAAGTCAGAAATAACAACTGAACTTTACAGAGAAACTTTGGCTACATCTACATGCATTGCTTAGAAGTTTGTGACATTTAGCATGTTAGGAGCTTGCCACTGCAATACTCTGGGCTTTACACCAGGCTCTAATTCTGGATCTCTGACAAGTTCCTTTTGCCTGGGTGGTACGTCTAAAAGTTTGGCTTTTATATCCACCACCTTACTCATGATCGACACCACATTTTGAGTGCAGTGCACTGAATGATGAAGACCACATGGGAGACCTTATCTTGGGAAACCTGCTGCAACAAGACACTAAGACAAGCTTGTATCTTCAAAGACAAGTTAAAATCTTCAAAATTTGACACGAGAATCCCTCAATATATGCTCACTCTTGCTGCCCTGTCTGGACTTCACAAGCCAATCCTAATAGTAGCCTAGAACAACTCCTGCTGGAAAACATTCACCAACATCCCCTCACTTTGATATGCATCTTAAAAAAAAAGTACAAATTTAAGATTGGAAGCAGAGTAGAGGCCACCTTCTTAAGGAACAAGGTAATGCATTTGAGACTCTGGTTCTCAGGCTTGGCATGTACCTGGCATCCACATCATTCCATGAGCGATCATTAAAGTTTCCCCAAGAGCAGAACCTCGGATTCCTGGAAGCTGGTTGTTGAGAAGGTTCTCATCTTCACTCTGGAAAGAGTTCAAGTAGGCAGTTAATATAAAATTTCCTATTATCTTATATTTGCTTTTTGCCTATCTCTTTTAGGTCATTAGGAAATAAGGTCAGCATCACCCCAGAGAACACTTTCCACTTCGTTTTGCTGGTCCCTATTTCTTTAACTTATGTTCACCAAAAGCAATCCTGACCTAGTCCGGACAGGATTCAGCCCTCATGCCTGGAGGGTCCATGTAGTGAGGAGACAGGAAGACTGCAGAAACAAAAAGGCATATTCAAGAAACAGGAAAGGTTATTCTCCTTAAAATCCTCACTGTTATTTTATTTTCAGTGAAGATTTGAAAATTCTCCTTACAAAAAAGACCCAGAGCTTTTCCTGGCTGAGAGGCAGTGAAGTATTTTTACATGTCTCGTAAAGATGCCAAGCTCTCATAGGATGCAGAGTGCTTAAGTCCTTCTGTTGTAATGGCTCCATCTCCTGCGATGCAATCAGTGAGCCTTCTAGTTATGTTATCAATTTGATGCCCCCAAATTCTTACTGCTCCCTAAGCCCTATGAGCTTGGTAATAATGTCCAGCAAGAAGGCTTCTAGCCTGCTGGGCCCGCTCGCCAGTGGGAGCTTATCAGTCCTGCTGCTTCTCCAGTATCAAGCCCAGACTTGTCAGCAAATGACTCTTCTTTCAGGAGTCCTACACGCTGGAAAGCAGATTTAGTTTTATTACCATCTCCTATGAAAGCGGGATGACTCTTAGTCCTGGGAAGAAGTAGGTCGTATTAGGGAGACTAACAGGATTATGACCAGTTCAGTAGGACACGCAGAAGGCCACAGATGTCTCCCTGCTGCAGCTGACGTGCACCCTGCAGCACATCTGAAAGTGCTGAATGCCCCTGACAAAGGAAGGACTTAAATTCTTATTCTTTGGGTACACACCTACTTCTACCTTCGATAAACAAAAGAAGGGACAATCTCATGACAGGGACCAGAGAGCCATCAGAAAGATGATGCAAAAAGATTCCCATGTCACTCGTGACTCATCTCTTTAGTCACCACTCCTCAAAATTCCCACCATCCGAGTGGGAGCTGTGAGTATGTGCAGGATGCAGGGCTGGGCATGGACCGCTGTCCCTGCCCTAAATTGCCATCAGCTGTCATAACAGCAGCAATTATATCCTCTCCACTGCCTCTAGAGGGTAGAGCAACCATGAGTAACAGGGCAGGCAGGTTGAACAGTGCCATTTCAGCCTCCTAAAAGCTTTAAAATTTCCTTAGCAGCCCTGCACAAAAATCGCCCGTCAGTGCGGGCAGCCAGCAGACCTGAGACTGGTGATACAGCAGTTTCACAGCGCTCTGCCAGATACATCCCGCTCCAAACATATTCATAGCAGTCTCATGGAAGTCCCAGGACTGCTTTGGCAGCAATTGTGCAGGATAAATAAAGCTCCCATTGTTGCAGATGACTCTGCTTTCAATTGCATGGGAATCCAGGACAGCAGGGACTTCTGACTGATAAAGGTTAGCACATTTGTACTACTTTTCTAGTAATGCAGGGCTTGAGCTGCGGCACTAAATAGCACCTTTTGGAGTTTATTTTGGGGCAGCTGTTTTCTAATTGCTTGCAGCATTTTTCTAAGCAGCTAAGCCTTCACTATACTGTTCAATTCTCATGTCCCCAGCCTCACTGCACTGTCATTTGAACAGGCATGAGTTAATCTATTCTCAGCCATAGGTAGGTCTGGATCTTCACATAAATACGGAGGGAGCCTTTGCCTCAAAAATCTTTGGGGGAGGAGGAGTTTATGTCGTGGGAGCAGAAGACAAGTCTACAATCAAGGTCTTGTGTGATTTCTGAAATGTTGAGTGGAAGAAAAAGTGGGGGGTTTTTATTATAAGCTTTGATAGAAAGCCTTTTTATAGTTAAGTATGAACCATGCAGGTTCATTTAAAGTAGCCCTGATCACAACCTCGGAAAGTATTCCTGAAAGCTCTTTGGATTTCACTAGCTGGAAATACTCCTTCCATAGCATAAAATAAAAAGACCCAATGCAGCTCCTTGCATGCTACTTTAACATTACAATACATTTATTTGTCCCTCCAGTCATCTACCAAACCGGAGTTACTGCTCCTGAATATACAGCACGTAGAGAATAGAGATACAACCTCTTCAAAGACAAAAAAACAGTCCATCTTCATTTGCTTAACTACATTCCTCCTAAAACACTTCAGAAACTGCATGCAACTTCCCTGAACCAGAAATTTCCCACTAGTAGGCACCTGAATAATTACAAATGATATTGAAAATTTTATTCCAGCAATCTGCTCTGCCTATACGGCACGTGTGGTTTTGAGCCTAATCAGAGCTCAGAAGGCAGTTTATATAAATCAGCCTCAGGATGGTAATATGAGAGCAGCCGCGCTTGTTTGTAATGCAGCCTTCTACATGGTGCAAAGTCTGAGTTTGATTGTTTATAGCAGGCAATGAAAAGGCATGCCTCTGCCTTGCCCTTTGATTGCTCGCCTGATCTGAACAATTGAAAGCTGCAAAAAAAGTCGGCAGCCTTTTTTCCTACATGTTAAATTCCCTATGTTGCAGCCTGTTGAACAGGGGGAAAATAAAAAAGATATGTAATAAAGTTAAGGCAAACAGTTTTTCAGAAGTCTAACCTCCCTCACGTGGGCCAGAATGAAAGTGTAAAAGCATGTGGCTCTTCACACCAGCCCAGGGACAAAATTCAGGGCGGCACACTGAAGTGGTGGCCGGGGACGTCCGAGCCCAGCAGTGCAGCAACTAATTGCCTGCGTTCTTGCAGCCAGCACGGTCCGCCAAGCTGGTCTCAAAGAGGAGGCAAAAAGTGGAACTGGGGCTGTGAGAGAGTTGTTTGTTTTCCCACTTCTCTGCATGCCAGACGTCTCAATCTGCCTGCAATTTGGGGAGGGAGAGATCCCCAGGGAGGAGGGAAGGGAAGGAAGGAGGCTGCTTCCCTTGCTCTCTCAGCATGGAAACCCATTGAGAATTAAGGGAAGACAGACAAGAATCTTGTTAAAATATAGTCAATTAGGGCTAAGGACCCTACAAAAGGAAGAAATGTTGCTTATAAACAATGGTCTATGAGCAGCAGAAAGGATGAGACTTGGTTTCTGCACGTTCTCTGGTGTAGATTCTCTGATGTCTGATAGCAGAGTTGTGTTCTTGCTTTTATACTAGGGGGGAACATGGTAGGTTTCTCCCCTTTGCAGAACTCCATCAGAGTGACACATGGAGCACTCTGAATGTATTCATTTGGGAGCTAATCTCCTTGCTTCTTTTGTGAAAATGAAAAATGTGTAGGGCAGAGCCTGGCCCCAACACAGACATGCCAGTGACCAATGCAGAGGGCACTTCCTCGCCATTGAAAGCAGGTTGGCACACCTGAGCTTTGTCCCAGCCTATCACAGGTAGTGCCACGTGTCTAACTTGGGGATCATCTTTGCTTTTATAAGCTAAACAGCAACCTTTTTCCTAACAGACTTTCCACGGCCCTTCTCCAGGTGTGCAGAGCACATGTGGTTGGCCAGAGACGGCAGACAGCTCTTCCCCGCACCCCTGGCTCATCCCAAGTGCTGCACACATGGGGATGTCCTCAAATCACCCAGATAATATTCCAAGCGGCTGGGTCTCCATCAATCCTACCATAACTTGCCCTTTTAAAGCTCTCAGCGAACAGATCATTTGTGAGAATATAAAATATGATTAAAATATGAGTGACCAGTACTTGCTTTACAGTAAAGATGTCTGTCTGTCTTGTGAGCACATGGCATGGGCAGGCGATGCTGGCCTGGTTTGTGGCTGTTGTAAAGGCTACATGGAAAGTCACCTGATGCTGCTGGCTTGACACAAGCACCATGGCTTATGGCATATTGTTTTCCCCTCTGTTGTGCTTCTCCAGGAATGCGGTGTCACCCGAGATGTGCAAAATGCAGTGCCTGACAGCCCTGAACCCTCCAGTGGCCTGAGCTCACTGCACTGAACTGTTCAGCTTTACAGCAGCTGAGGATTTAGCTTGCAAAGCCTGCAGCATGTTAACTGTGTTAGCTTTGTAATTTTGTTATTGGACTATCCTGTAGCTCCCTAGGGTGGGGGGAATGCCTTCACCCATTGCTGTCCTGTGTTCTCCCTGCAGGATGAACTGCTGTTGGTGAGCGAGCTGATGTGTGCTCCTCTTTGGGGAGTTGCTGCAGGCTGCGCACTTGGTGACAGACCAGGATATCCAGAGGATACACTCAAGTAATTTTTTTGGTTCCCTTTATCAGTTTTCGGTATCTTCCATTAACCTTAATTTTATATTTATACTTTTGGTGACCGTAACAACTGCCTTTCCTTCTCTCCCTTAACATCGTTGACAGTAATAGCATAGCTATAGAGATGTATTGTCCTGCTTGGTGTACAACAATGGTTTTAAATCCATAAAGAAAAATTAGACTTAGAATTGTTATCTTGGTGCTGACCTTTTCTACTAGGGTGGGGTACAAATCACAGAACTCTTCATTTACTTTACCTTGCTGCCCAGTCCCCTCTGGTCCTGAATTAGTTGGCATTTCTTCCAGCTCATTGTCAATGTGCTAAGATGGTGATAAACCTTACAGCAAATTATTCTAGGAGTGGGAGTAGGTAGTCTGAATTTGTGAATTTTGAATTCCAGATATATTGCAGAATCATTCTGCCTTTCTGTTACAAAATGCCTCTGGGACAAACTGAGATTACCTACAGGTTACTTTTATCCTTTTGTGCTTCTTTCACTTACTTAACCTATTTTTCTGCTTCCCGGATTCAGCAATTAAGGCTACATGGTCCTTCAAGGAACGATACAAATTTCCTAGCAGGGAAGCCATTGATATTTGAGGCCTCTTATCTCTTGGGAGCAGTTTCTACAGGACGTCTGCAATAGCTAAACATACTTTTTTTTTTCCTAGCATAAAAGTTAAGGAATTTGCCCAAGCAGCAGAGGCAACACCAGGCTGTTGGCTGCAAAACATCAC